TGCGATGTCCACTTACGGAAAACATGGAAATTAATGTTGGGCTTTTGAATGTCGCCCACCCCAAAACATCGCACTCCCAGACCGCTTTCGAAGTGGTTTGAGCTTAACAGGTACAGAGAGCACGCATTCATACCGGGGACATGTGCTATCTGTTATAGAACCTATATATGTTAGCCCCAGATTCACTACGGACAACACTTTTCGGGCATTAACCACTGTGAGAAACCTTGCCCGCCCGATGAGATCACATAAGCTGTTAGCCACAAATTCTGCATCCTTAGACCTGGTGTTGTTTATCTTTATCTGACCAGTAGAACAAGTAAGAAATCAGTCGATAAGTGCAGTGCTCCGAGCCAGTATTGGCCCTTTGAAAGTGGGCTTCACTCCGTTACTCAGCAGTTAAATTAGGGACACCCGCATCCCAGACACTAGTTACCTATTGCAAGGGGGATCCAATGCATTGCACCTTATCGAAGGAGTTTGAGTAGTCACAAAACAATAAGTTGTTCATATGTACTTCCAGCTTGATATATTGGCCTCCAGTGTTTCACAACCATGAAAGGCGGCACCATAAGTGCAGTGAAATGCAGCACGCAATCTTGCTACTAAATCGTTAACCAAAACTACCAGTATTCGGGAACATTGTACGCAATAAACTAAGTTCCACATTACCTGCAAAACATGGTATGGTATCGAAACCAGTATATTAAGTAAACAAAGTGAATACAGCGAGTAAAGTGTTACCGAGCATCAACAGCGGTTAATGCGATCCCTAGAAGGAATCGACAGCAAGGGGTGGTTTTGAATTCCTTACTTATTACTCTGAGACAAAACTTCCCACTGAACTTCTCATTGTGTTTCGCTGTGAAAAGGACAGAATAAGCTTGCCAATAGAATAAATGATAAAAATTATTGGTAAGCCAATGAAACACAAAGTGATCCCATATAAAAACATGAGCTGATGAACAGTCCAATGCTGCGATATCCTCAGAAGCAAGTTCCATGAATAGTCGACGAGGGATGCTGGAGCCACTGGCCTGTAATATAAGTCAGGTGGGCCATCGTCGGTCTCAGACCAGAAGTATGCGTCAGATAGTTCACGATCGTCTCCAGCGGTCCAACCGATCCCCCACTACAGGAACAGAAAACAGCAGTTTTTGAAACTGGGATCGAATATCTAAATCAACAGTTCAATTAATCAAGTCCGTACTACACCATGCCGGTTAGATTCGATCACCGGATGTATACTACTTACTATACAGAATTCGAAAAGTAAGCTGCAGCAAAAAGGCTTTGAAACACAAAGAAAACTGATGTAAATTGCTTCCCATCTCAACCAAATTCCGTTTGCTCGCGGAACTATTTCAGGTCACTTATAAATGTTGGAGGTTTGGTTAGATCAAGGAACGCCCAGGCCCTCACCCTGAAGGTCAATGGGCTGATGTGACAACAGACGATCGATCCAGACACAGCATTTGGTTTCGTAGTTCAAGCAGTCAACTGTTGCAGTGATCGATAACACCTGTAGTCAGTACCAACCATCATTACATTCGTAGAATTTTCCCTCATGTTCGGCACCTAAGTGATGCGAAAATAGTCGCACATTTAGGGTCCAATCATGTGTAGCCAGATATAGTAAAACTTGTTAATCATGTTTGTTGGAATCGAATGAGTTGAGCGCTAACACATGCAAATGGTTGAAAGCGTAACCAACCACAAACAGATGGATTCTTCTGAAAAGTTGCTAGCGACTAAGAAAGACTGAAGCTAAACACAGTTTCAAGAAGTTACGAATCGTACCATGTTGGTCATACAAATCAAATGCCCTGATGTTTTAAGCTGAATTCAGTTAAACTGCGCAATTAAGAGCCAAAAGAAAGCCGAAATGTGGCTACAGGAAGCAATCCGGATATCTGAATTGTGGGTAGATTCAACTTAACCGATGAAGCAGACCACCAGATTGCCCAGACGAAGGTCAAATAAAGATGTGTTTTTGAGATTCGTACTTGGTACCCAGCGATCAGTGCAATGGGTTATGCCCATTAGTCGTAACTGTAGGCACTAACTTGTTGGACTTATCGTTCAAACGATCGAATGAGTTGAGTGAGTGGACAATGTTTCAGGTTTTGTTGAAAAATGATGATAACTTTACTTGAACTTGTAGCCTGGGATAGTTATCTTCACATCAGCCACAGTCCTATCCGGATTTCTTCGCGAAATGGGTCTCAGGATTTGCATTTCCCTGTACATTTGATTGTATGATGACACATTACTGTTTTCTATTCCGCTATATCTCCCATTCGTTCCATCGGAGAATGGCCCTTGTGACTTAGATTATAGGAGAGGATGTGGCTAAGATTAGCTGGTGCATTTTGGAGCTTGGTTCTGTACTATTCAGGTGCAATTTTTCCTCTAGCTGCCCGGCCGAGGATGTTAGCAGAATCCCCGCAGTACCACAATACCCACAGATCTGATGACGAAATGCGAATAATGATACTCTCATTTAGCTGAACTCGGCCGGTAGCATTAAGGTTACACCATGGACCTCGTGCAAGACAATTGCCTTGCAGCCAAAGTAACATTTTTGGTCACGATGAGTGCATTACGACGAGTTTTCCCATTCAGCGGCTGAAGTAACGGCCGGTACACGGTGCAGACGCCTGTCGCTTTTGAGGTTGCTCAACAGATACCGGATCAGTTAAAATCCGTAGCGTCAAGGCTGAGTGCAAACCGACTGACAGTGATAACTACATGAATAAATGGAAGGCAGAATGTGGTGTAATCGACGCGACGCATCAAAGTATCTGAGTCCGATAACATATCAAGTCAAGGGAGTTAATTACTGTGTTGCATCTGACTGGTATGGATGGGAATGTATCGCGGACCTTTCACTCCTTCGGGTATGTCGCTCCTCTCTTCTGCAGTTTGTTTTGAGTACCTGTCGAAATATACCCGAAACAACACCACACTCATGTAAATCCCATTTGATCCCGGCCCTCTTTGTTGTCCTTTATAAATCCTTGATGTTAGATACTGCAGATCCTCACGCACTAACACATTATCGCAGCTCAAACTAGGGTAATGATAATTACTCTCACCATCTACTTTCGCTCCGTGAGTCCGCCCATCGCCCCATACCTATATTGCAAGCGGATTGAATGGAGTATCGACCGTTTTGCTTTAACTCAAGCCTGATCGCAGCTCTCTAGGTGGTGACCAGTTGTGAGTCAGATGACTGCTGTCTCAGTACGGCCACTCTAGAGAGCCAGTTACATTTACAGCATATAACTGCTGTACATTTTGCAGTCTGGATTCTGCTGAGGACACTCTATTAGCTCAAGATTGCGCTAAGATCACTTTTCAATACTTCTCTTTAGATAAATACAGTTATAAGAATGTAAAAACCACGCAACGCAGTAAGCCAATGAAGGCTGGACCAAAAATACGTGGTTCGGGAGCATTTGAACAATGCTACTATGTTCCATTGATTGTTTGATGGATAAATTGAAGACAGGCCTTATGACAGCCAACGGGGTGTTGCGGATTACACTTGGCCGCCGCCACTGGCTGACACTGAGGGTTTGCCGCGTGGCCATGACAAGAAAAGCGCTTGTACAAGTGCCTTTCGTTTGCAAGACTCCAGCTACACCAACCTGATGACAACTGCCTCAACCGTCCTAGAGAGGCGTTTTCTAAGCGATTTAGGGTACCTGTTTGCCGCAGTGTAGAAAGTTTTGAATGCGTCAGCTGGTCGCATTTCATGTCCCCTGTGAAAAAAGCACTCCATGATGGTGCTGTTAAAGGCTCCGACAACGCTTTTTCGCAAGTACAACGGGCAGTGCTCAGCTGTCTGTTTTGCAAAACGCCTGATTGTATGTCCAGTGTACCTTGCACCACAGGAGGGAGTGTATTGCTGTAGAATATACGATTTGGATTGGACCGGAAGTCTGTCTTTAAGTCGTTGGGTAATAAGCGCGGTAGTCTGTGCACCAACATGCGTGTACGCTGCTTGATAGGCATTGCCTACAACAGTCGGTAGTATTCCGCTCAGTAAACGCACCTTGATAAAGATATCATTTTATAAACAGTCATATCACTTTGCTGCCTCACAGAGAAAGTGGCATACGTTGTAAGGAAGAAGAAAGGGTAACCAATCTCTAGTAACATTGTTATGATAACGATTTCCTTGTGCCAGTGTTTCCGGGCTACAAATTTTGACAGCACGATGATGCAGGCAGCAAATTAAATTCCTCTTGTATTTCTAAGGTACGAAAGTCAGCATGTGCGTACACTGGCCTGCATTCGTAGCTTTCCGGAAGACACTTCTCTCAAGCGAACCATGCTCTCCTCTCGAGCAATATTTCAAGGAAAGCTGCCTTACCATCGCTTTCAATTTCCCTGTCGATGTCCAACTACGGATGTTCACATTTTGAACTCAGCTAGCTGACAGCAACATTGACACTTGAGTCACAGACAATAAATGTGTCGATCATGTATCGTCAAGATGAATCAAGCACAGGTATAACAGGCTGAATAGACCCGTGTTCAAGATTAGAAAGAAAGATGTCAGAAAGAACTGGCCTTAGAGGAGGGCTCATTGGAACGGCATCAATCTGGCTGTACTAGATTCCATCAAATAGGAACGGACTACCAAAAGTGCATCACAATAAGAGCGTACAGAAGGAGCGTTGTTGGAATATGCTAGCATCATACAAAACGAAGTACCGATATTTTGTGGTGTTATAACGCTGTACCAGCAATTGACCGGTTGATTCACGCCTGCTGGTAAATCTGCGTCATTATGCCTGCTCTGTCGAACGCCTAGGCCAACCCGACAGGATGGAAGTCAGAAGAAGACTCAGCAGACCAGAGTTGTATTGAGACCGAGAACGCTCATACTTATATGCCTGTCTCACAAATCCTCTAAACAACGCCTGGCGGAGTTGGCTGTAAGCCCCCGCTTCACACCTCATTGTCCGCACCTTTCGGCCAATTCGCCATCATGCTCAGGCACGCCAGTCTTCATCCACCTACCCGAGGCATGACAACGCACATGATGTCTGACGTGCAATTTCATCAGCTTCCGGTAACACCTTGGCAACAAGCATGGTATCTGATGTGCGATTTCACCAGCTTTCGGCTGGGCTCTGTCAGCACGCTCGCAGAGTCTGTCCCAAGTACGATTTGTAGCGAACACGTGCGCATTGGCCATCAGCTTTCTCGCCGCACTGTCACCACTATTCCGAGTTGAGTTATCTTGCAATCGCTTCGAACCTGCTTGTGTTCATAGCTTTACTCCCGGGGATCGATTTACAGCCGTTGTGGTCTTCTCCGATTCCGAGCCGGCCTGTAGTGTGTAGCTAATGTTTGCGGCATTTGTTTTGTCTTACCGGGTTGCTGACCCTTAATTTCCAGACCGAACGTGTCTAGTAGAATGTCCCAATGCAAAGCTGGTGATTCGTTGTGATCTTAGGTATTGCCACGTTTCGGCCTTAACTGATGGATGTGCATAATCCACCTCTCCCGTTCAACCACCACCTCGTAGATAACTCTGCCTTTCCAGCCTATAACAGTTCCGCCCGACCACCCCTTCGGCCTTCGAAAATCCAGGGCGTAAACCATGTCACCAACATTGAAGTTACGAAACCTGACTTTGCGATCTTCCTCCAGGTCACTGTTGCTGTGCTTTTCTATTCTCCTTGGTAAAAGATTATTGAACAACGTCCGGATCTTTCTTCCAAATAGTACTTCTATGGGCGATTTCCCGTCAGGGGAGTTTGGATTCGGAGCTTTCCGTTACATGCATAGGAAAGATTGAAATGCATCCTGTGAAGCCCTTCTTTGCCCTGCTTTACAGAGTGCACGTTGGAACGTATCTACGGACATTTCCACCTGCTCGTTTGATTGCGGATGATATGGTAGTGAGAACATCTGCTGAGTTCCCTTTTCCTAACACCAATCGCTGAAAGAAATCGAGGTAAACAGTGTTCCATTGTCTTTCACT